ATCTCTGATGCGCGTTGAAACCACCAAATCTCGCGGTCTCTGCGTAGGCTTGCATTAATTTCACGTCTCGGTACGAGTCGTGTTTCATTATGTTCGCTGCCGGTCGGAGTGGTCCGACGTGCGTCAAGAAGGCATAGATACTCTGCAGACATCCAGGGTGTCACGGCGTGACGTGTCAAACCACAACTAACTAAGCCGGCAGAATGCAGAGCATTNGCATTCTTGATAAGCGATCAGTGCTAGATAACGCCGTCGGGTGCGATCGATACTAGCTTTTCAGCCAGTGCGTTCTGGAAGACAGTTAGACAAGCTGGTTTGGACAGCTTATCACACTCACCGTCGTTTTGTCGTACGTTTGGGACGCCCACCGAAGCACATGAACAGCTTGGCGCATACTTATGCCTGGTCGGATTCGAGGGGAGTGCTCCAGTACGAACGGCAGTCTTGAATGCTGCCACGCCATTTGTGGCTTATCGCGATGTGGTCGATCTGTGTCCGTCTCTCGCCCAAGGAGGGCGGACGCCAGGTGGCGTATCAACAGTTCTGAATTTCGTACTGGCGAGGAACAGGCGGTGGTCGGAACAGAGAGCCAACAGCCGTTCTCCATTTTCCGAGCGACAGAAATCTAGTCCGAAGGGACCTCCCGTGTGCGCCTCACTCGAAGTCAACCGGCCTACTCTAGCATTCATATCTCTTGCTAAAATCACAATGTCAGCTTGGGTCGCCTTACGCAAGAGGTCGTGAAGATTGTGGTAAAATTCATCTTTGTCTGCATCTGGGCTGCAGTCCGTTGGAACGTACACCGAAACGACAAACAGGTTTCGTCTATCATGGCGAAAGCTGCTTACCTTGCACGAACCTCTGAGTCTCATTGCGCACAACTTACAGTCGACTGGGACAGCAGTCGAGGTAGGACAAGAGCGAACAGCGGCAGAATTCCCGCCCGAGGCAGTAATGTCGATCGTCTGAAGTACCGGAGAGAGATAGAGGAGTGTTGGGGAGGTAGAGATGAGCTTAGGGGAGGCTGGGAGGACAAAAGGGTGTGTACGGTGTAGAAATTCTGTCGATTGTTGAAGGTTTAGAGTGCAAAATGATGAGAGCGAGAATGTTCTTAGTCTTCTGCGTTGTGGGCTATTGTACTACTCGGTCACCCAGTCCAGAGTAGACCTTGTTCGAGGGTGCACTCTAGCCTTTGCACAACCAAGCGCGGACTGCAAGGCAGCAGTGATGTTCCAGATGAGCCGGTGGCGGGTTTTCGGCTCATTCGCCTCTTCTGGAAAATCTTGTCGGGCAAATGAACTCGACAAGGGGCGATGGCCATATTTAGTGGCGGGCACACTCGCCACGTCACAGCGCTGCCGCTGATCGTCCACGACCGCTTATTCGGCAGGTCGAATCTCGCCTTGTTCACGGTTAGCGGCGAGATGACGGCCGTTCCCCTATGCGCGACCTGGGGACGCGCTCGGTAGCATACAGCTCTGCTCTTTCGAGTGAAGATGATAGAGATGTTTATTTTTCATGTAGTATCATTGTCTGATTCATAATCATTGACCACAATCATGTTTCACTCAGTTTTCAAGAAGTATCATTTTTTGAAAATATAAAAATGGATAACTTTGACGATAACTATTCCAGTAAAACTTATTCTGTATCTTATTTGGTTATCTTCATATGAGGCACGAATATATCGGTCACTCACTTTTGGTCCTTTTCTCTGCATGAAATTTCTGGCTTTTACTGCATATTACCCTGTTGGGGTAACATTTTTGCATGCGATCGTCGTTCTTTCCAGATACCCGGAGATGCCAAGCAGATTTATCGACGTTTATGCGCTTACCAAATCGCTCGAGCGAACCATCATTCAATCCCAATGCAACAGTTCCTGAATTCCTATTTCACCCACGTTCCCGAACGTTTAACACCGTCAACTGTGAACGCCACGAGCACCGACGTGCCAGATCGCACTAGTTCCCTAGATCTTTGTCCGGCTGATGGATTCCTTCTGTTGGCCACGTCCAGTCTTATGGATTTTCCCAACCCAATGACACATATTTCCTGTACTGTGCGCAATTTTGCCCAGGCATTACTCACTGCTCACTGGATCGATCAACTAGGATTAGCGCATGCTCCATCAAATCATCACTTCCGTTTGCGGCTGTGCTCCTTGTTCTCCTTGCATGGACTCGCTTGTCCTGAATTGTCGCTTCCACAGGCGGAAAGAATGGAACTGAAGCAGTTATTGTTCGTTTCACTTGGGTGAGTGAGTTGTTTCTCGTCTGGTCTCGAGTTCCATACACAGTTACTTGTGGCTTTGGCGATATCTTAGTGAATTTAACTAACCATTCTTCAGACGTCATTGGTACCCAATCCTCATTACAACCATGGCGTTGGCTTAATTTGAAGATTAAACGGATCCGTTTTACTGTTGCTTTCTAAGAGACATGGGTGCATTCACCTACTGAGGTCAATTCTTACCAGGTACGCATTACGGACAAGTTGGCAGTCATAGTTGCATTGAGTCATCTGAGTAGTAGAACATTAAATAATAAGGAACTTATTCGTCATATAGTTTCCTGTGTCACAAGCTGTATTTTGAGGTTACTAACCGAACAGGAACAGGCTCTGAGCTCATGATACACATCCACTTGTTACGAAACTTCAGATGTGAACTAACAAGTCGTTTATACCGGGTATCCATAACTCGGTTCGCTTCAAATAGCAGTTGACCTTGCAAATTATTGCTCTGGTTCCACTCGTTTGTGCTAGCTCGTGGAGAGCACTAATGCAGAGATTTCAACCGGATAAATAACATTCTTCAAGTTGTTGCCCTTAGTGAATAGACGCACCAGGGCTGAACGGCTGATATTTGATCAAATTGCTTAGTACTGTTCAAAAAATACTTTTCAACGATGCGACGTTCTACAGAGTCCAGTTCAGAGCAAACAAAGCGTGTATTGAAAACATCAGGAATATTGTACAGCTGACTCTATCTTGTTGAACCTCGTAAGCAGTGCAAATTCATCGACCCGACTGAGAACCACACTCGGGATCTCAGATCTAGAATGCAAGCATTCTGCCCACCGGGCAGCTGATCAGAATGTTTTTTCGCTTTTTTAGATAACTGTTTGTTCATGGAATCGCACCTACGCCCGAAACATTTTGCAATCGCGTACCATGTGCGTTTACAATCAGTGACTTTTAGGGAATCCGCTCCTCAGATTATACCGTGCGCATGTGTACGCTGCGCCAGTGTCGTTAGTAAAGAAATCAAATATCATTCTGATCGTTTGCGCTATCATTCAGATATTCTTGTTCGGATTCACTAATTTCGTTTAGGTGAAGCATTTAGTTATCCTTGAGATTTTGCAAGTTTTTCCATTGGTGTTACAAAGTCTGCCGTTCTTTTCGTTGTACCTACTCAACGGGAATAAATTTCCATTACACTTTCAGGCACATGATTATCTCTCCCGGTCCAATTTTGACTCTATGGGCCAGTCCACCATCAGCTGGTTCACAACACGGAGATAATGTCAATTCATTACTCGCGTTCTTTCAGCGTCTGCACGTCCTCTCGGAAACCTGTGTGTCCGAAGCGGAAGATTGTCTAGTCACCGCTTATCGTCGCCGTGTGTACACCAAAATATGCGAGTTTACCAAGTTTGCTTTCACCCTGAAGCATGCGGACGTGTTTCTTCTATCGAGGATGGAACTCGTATACTGGCAAGTCGTGGTGGTCCCGGACGAGTACGTTCGTTTGCTAGTTGTTTAATCGGACCGATGAATCATGATCTGTCATGCCATGAATTGCATACGGTCACCTTGGCTTTGTTTCATTTGCAACCGGTTCAGCGAGTTAATTCTCGTTTGATGTTGTTTTCTCGTGATACGGATTTTGACGTGGCAATAGCTAGTTGGATTCACTTTAACGTTTTTTTTCTATTTACGTGTGTTTCAGCTTCAAAAGTTTCATGCTTCACTTTGTACAGCAAATCGACCCTTGACTCTAGTTTCTGGTTCCTGCTCTACGCTGTGCTCTATTTCACGCCGGTCTGCATCTTGTCCCTCTTTTAAATCCCCGTCCTGAACAGCTTCGATATTCTGCTTGAAAGCCTCGGTGATGCTGATAAAGAACTGGAAGTTGGTGAGTGAGTCGCTTTTGTTGTTTCATCGACACCTGTTGCTTTTCGTTCGAGTTTATTTGCAATGGTATTGAGTTGATTTTGCAAGAGTACAAGTGCATGAAGATTCCCTTTCAAATCTTCATATTACAAATAGCTTAAATCAGAACTTGAATTTGTATCATTCTTCATTTCGATTGATGTGCTATCCATTTTCACAGATGAAGTTGCTGTTAATGAATGACCATGATCAGACATGAATCGATGTAAAAGGTTGGGTAGTAGAATGGCACACGAATACACTGCCTGTCAATTAATGTATTGGGGAATCAGACCGTTTTGCAGTTTCTTTCTGTTTATTACACTCTTCAGATTGATGAACAGGGATTGGCGTCCTAAACTCGGGTACTTGAAGTAGCGATCCACTCGAG